CTGCCCAAACTCTTTGCACATTCTGTGGAGGTACAAAAGGACATTGCAAATGCCCTCACCCCATGAAGACCCATGGGGGCTTTACTTGGCCTCACCTTTTGTGCAAATGGCTTCACCCCCAGAGTCTGCTCTCACCAGTCTTTGTGGGGCATGTTTTGGGGTTTCAGTGCTGTTCAGCTCCCCCAATTCCATTGCTGCAAGACAGAAGTGGCTACCAGCCTGGTCCTCTTCCCTGCCCATGGCCACATCCAGGCACTAGGGCTCTCAGCAGGGACATCCCCTCCAGGGCATCTCCTCCTGGGGAGGTGGGGACCCCGATCTCCCTCACCTTCCAGCACCCCTCTGTCCCCCGGCAGCCCCAGACATGGATGCAGTGGGGCACGTGAGCGGGATGCTGTGGTGGCAGGCAGGATAGCTGCTCGCCTGGCACAAGCCCAGGGAGCTGTCGTCTCACCGCCACCATGATGCTAAGCATCAGACATTCAGCATCAGTGCCCCAAAACCCATTAGCAGCTTCAGGGGATCCACCTTGCAAGCTGCAAGCATGAGCAAATGTGGTGCACTAGCATTTCATAAAAACTTGTGCAAGGCTGTAAGCAAATTAGGTATCATTTTTGGTACTGCAGCACACGGGGACCAGACCCTGGGGGGCACAGCCAGCCCTCAGGAACTGGAAGTGCCTTCATCCATTTGACCTTCTAGCTCCTTTTATCAAAATTTCTGAAAACTGTTACCACTTGTCAGCATTTTTCAAGTGTCCCTTTGAGCCCTTGGTCTGGAAAATGCAGTTCTGGGACAATGCTCTACCCACTGCTGTATCCTAGAACCACTTTCATACATTTTCCTTCAATTTTTGACCCAAATTTCTGCTCTCTTTCAGTGAGGACACACTTCTCCAGCCTCCCAGGTTTTCTGCTCTCATTTTCAGCTTTGTGTTAACCTGTCCCAATCACCACTGAACGTGAGGTCTGAGTTTGCTGGTAGTCATAGAGCATTTCCCCACATCCCTGGCACTTGGGACTGTGATGGACTCGGGGACTCCTATGAGCAATAGATGGGGAAAACAGGCACTGGGCAGACACAGCAGTCTGGACAAAGGCATCAGCAAGAGAAACAGCCATTGCTGCAGCATAGGCAGGGCTGGGATGTGCTGGCCCAATGGTGACCTGGGGCCCTTGCCAGCCTGGCAGCACCATTAGGTCCTTGTAAAGTGAAGCTTCCACGTTCTCAGCGACCTTCAATACCCAGCAGTGCTGGGTGCGCAGCCGGGATGGGTTCTGCATTAGGTAGCTGATTGGGATGGTGATGGATAGGCAAGGTGTTTGGGGCTCATTAATTTCCTGGCAGGGATCAGCTTGTCACATCCTATAATGCAATCAAAGCAGCAACACATCTCACTCTGAGAACACAAGAAGCACTCAATCAGGATGCAGAGTAACATCCTCCAACTGATAAAAGCTCCCCACTGCTGTGAGAGTTTAATCCTACTAAATGCTGAGCACCTGGGGCACAGCTCAGCCTTGGCCCTATAACCCTCAGAAGGGGTACTGCTCCTGTTTAGCTGATTGCTCCTGGTTGCCCAGCAAAAGGTGGCTGTGTAGGGGATGCTACAGCTGAGTTTAGTGCTGCCTTGAAATCCCACCATCCCTGGGCTCCAGGTGGCCTGGGATATCTCTGTCCTCTGGAAGCCTGGACGGGCTGGACCACAGCACACACAAGCTGGGGTCACCCTTCCCTCCCCTGATGTCAGCTGCAGACAGCTTTGGGGCTTGCTGGGATCCCTAGAGCAGGGGCTTGGTTGTTTGTTGGGGTGATCTTCTTGGGCCAGGCACATGCTGGGCATAGCCAGGCTCCCAGGAGTATGTGCTGGGTTACAGCTGGCACTGCTGCAGCCAGAGGATGCTGTGGGACAGGGCTGCGGTGGGGGGTCAGGATGGATGAGCTCGTGCTCCTTCCCAAATCCCAACCTCCTTTCAAAGAAGCTGCCACTTCCCATCCTCCAAAGGAGAGAGAGCACAGAAATAAAAAGTTGTTTGTTTGGTTGTTTTTGGTTTGTTTTTTTTTTTTTTAAAAAAAAGCCCCCGTGGTGACAAACATGAGCAGCATGGCTGTGAGCCAAGGCACTGCTCACCCACCCTGGGGACAAGCTCAGGGGGGATGCACAGACCCTCTGGCCGGGCCTGTGGAGGTGGGGGGGCTGTTTTTTCCTGCTGCAGCATGGTTCTGCAGGACCTGAATAAACACCCGGCCCGGGGCACCCAGGCAAAGGGCACATTTCCCTCCCAGAGCCTTCAAGGAAACCCCTTTTGTGTCTGCCTTTGGCTGACCCTCGGAAGCCAGCTCTGCTCCTCGCAGCCAGCGCTGCAGCAGCCTGCAGTGGCACCGCAGGTCCCTTGCTGTTAGGAGAGGGTGTGATGGGACTGTCCTCCAGCTCCTGTGCAGATATCTGGTGTGTGGTCTCCTCTGAGAGAGTCAAGATCCCTCATTTGCTTCTTCAGAGCCTAAACCCTGCACAAGTATAGGAGTGCTTGAGAAGTACTTTAATTTACCTTTTTAATATGAATATTATTCAACAGTAATGATTTGATAACTAGTTATTAATAAGGCTTGCTTGCTACTAATGATTCCTCTAGTCTGGTGTTACTTGCAAACAACTGGGCACTGAGGGTAGGCTCAGCCACACCCCAGCAAGCTGCAGCATCCCGAATGCGAGGAGAAATGCTCAGCAGTGGCTGTCCCCAGGTGGGACTGGGCTGGGAACATGCCACTCCCTGGGCTCATGCAAGCAGACAAGGTTTGAAACCTGCTGGTTTTTTGGCCAGCCCTAGCTGAGGGGAGCTGTGGCAGCCCCACAGAGCTGCACCACTCTGCTTGTGGGAGACTTTCTGTCTCTGAGCACACTCATCAGCCACCCCGGGGGTCCAGGGCTCAGCTGGGAACCACTGGGCTCTCACATTCTGGGGATGCTCTAACAGCAGAGAGGGCACTGGGCAGGGGGGAGCCAGCTGCTTGTGCTGTGCACAAAGCCTGGAGCTGGCACATTCCCCAGCTCAGCACAGGGCTCATGCTTTGCCTGCTGAGGATTCTACAGGTGCAGCAGCATCGATGGGCCCAGGACAGGCTGTGGGTTACTCCAGAGGGCAATGGCACAATCTGCTGCAGTGTCCAGGGACACTGCTGTTCCATGGGACAGCGAAGGACTCAGTGCAACCAGCTCCAGAGGCACCAGCAAGCAGGACCTGCCAGGCAAAAGGTGATGTCAGGGATTTAATTTTCCCATACCATTCATGATTTTTAATCTGAGCATGTCAGTGCTTGGAAGCATCTGTGTCCCCCATTTTATTCCATGCTGAATTAGATCTTGTCCCTGGGTAGGAAAGAGCTGCTGTCTGCCCAGCTTGCTTTGCTGTGCTGCACTGGTATCACCCGGAGAAGACAATGCTTTTCTTCCCAGCACAGGAGTTAGGGAACTCCTGGCCAGGGAGCAGGTTAGCAGCCCACTTTGTGTCTGTTATTCGAAGCACTGAAAGGGCTGCAGATGAACTAAGTGAGGGACTAAGTAAATAAAGGATTGACCTTCCACCCCAGGGGCCAGAGGGCAGCTACAAACTAGTGCTAATGTGAAATAGAGAGGCAAACTTTGCAGGCTCTGGAGGAATTTGCCCTGGAAGCATCAAAGGCGGCAAAGGACTCGTGTATCACCCTGTTTGCATCAACACGGGGATGATGGCCCTGCCACCCAGAGGACCAAGCTCTGGCCAGTGGCTCTGGGAGGGACACTGTGTCAGCTCAAGGGCTGAAGCAGGAAAGGGTTACAGGGAAATCCTTGACTTGGAGGCCAGGGGCTGCTGGTGCTTTCAGTGTGGTGTCCTGTGGGCTGCTCAGCACAAGCAAGTGGCTGTGTTTCCCACAGCGTCCTGCAAATTCGTTGTGAGGCAGATGGGTGGACGTGGGAGCTGGTGTTTTAATGTTAACCTGTGGGCCTTGGGAGCAGGGACCGCTGGAAAAGCTTGGGCTGCACAGTACGGAGTTTTCAAAGGACTTTCTAAAACCAGGACACATCTAAATATCTCAGGCTGGGCAGCCAACATCCCCCATTACTTTTGACCACACACATAAGGGCACATGGCTGACAGTCATTTGATAGAGGCAGAAGACCACAGGGGATGGATGGGTCAATAGGAGGCAGCAGATGGACATGGCCGCTGGAGAGAGGGAAAGACAAGCAGATAAAGGTGAGAGCTGGAGATTGGCAGAGGAGAGCTAAGATTTGTTGCGGGTATTTTGTTCTGACTGTGGGAAATTAGACTGAGGGATGGGTTTTGTTGTTGCTTTTCTTGGTCTTGTGTTGGCTAGGGAGAGAGGTGAGGCTGTGCCTGTTATTAATAGCTGGGGACTCATGGGCCAGCACAGAGCACTTCTGATGAGCCCACAGGGCCCCCAAATGCTAGGTAATGCATGGCTGATAGCCAGGCACTAATTCAGTCACAGGATCATCATAATGTGCACAAATCTCCCTAGGCCTGTTGCACTATGAAGTGCTGTGAGTGATTTACACCCTGTTAGCAGCTAACCGCTCTGTGTGTTACCTACAGCACAACTGGACCCTCTGGGCCACTTCTGGTTCCACTTGCCATTTCGGTTGATCCCTGGGAATGGCTCTTCTTCACAACGATGCCATGGTACTGCACTTGCCTTTCCCTTGGTGCAAAAAATTCCCCAATCCCCTAAAGCACCCTGTTAAGAACTTCCACATCTCATTGAGCTGTTATTAATAGGGGGATTGTCTGGTGTCACAGCACAGGCATAAAATACATTAACATTATCACATAATCTTATTTAGCAAACACTTGTGTCGATTCGCCCTTGGTAATTGCATTTGGGAGATGCAATATTTATGAAAGGGGAGAAGGAAATGTCTTGACTCATCTCCTCTGAGCAGTAAAAGTCCTGGGGAAAAAAAAAATATGCTGGGGGAATTGTGGGAGCCTGAGAAGGGGATGTCAAACCTGCTGCTCCCCTTGCCGCAAGTAAGTTTCGTGTTTGATGGGATTCTGTCTAAGCCTGAGCTTTGCCACTGAGCTGCTCCTGGAAATGAGTGAGGTTGGGGTATGGATCCGGATTTTGCAAGAGCTCTTCCTCCTGCACTAGGCTGTGTCGGACCCCAGCACTCTCCTGGTATCTCTCTGCAAATATCGCTGCGAGCTCACTCGCTGCCTTGAGTTAGCTCTTACTCCTAATTGCACCTGCGGGGCTCTCCGGTGAGGCTGTACTCGGGGCTCAGCTCCGAGGATGCTGCCCGCTAAGCACCATGACTGATCAGGATTTCTCCTAGGACTGAAATCCACCCAGCCAGCCCTGCGTTTCTGTGTGGCACCTCAGAGACTGATAGCAGGGTCTGAAAGGCAGAGTTTTATCCTGGATACAACATCCTCAACCCTGGCAGCTCATATCTCAGCGTCCACCTTTTCCCCACCTCTGAAGCCCCAGTTCCTGACACTTCCAATTTTGCGGGGACCTTGCAGCAGGGTATGAGCTGCTGGAAGGTGTCCCTGGTTCTCAGGGGGTGCTGTACTGAGCTCAGCTATGGCAGCGGCACGCAGAGAGCCGTCTTGGAAGATTATTTAATGCCTCGGACAGCTCCACCCTTTCGGAGCCTCCAAGTGTTTGTCCCCAGAAAATAAAGCTCATTTCCCGACCTGCAACCACCCACGTCCCTTCGTGCCCCCGGTGCCCGTGGGTGACCCTCACCGCCCAGCGAGGCACTGCGGGCTCTGCTGGGGTCCCGCAAGGTCCCGCTCCGGAAAGTGGTGGAGGGAGCAGTGACATGAAACAGCGACTTCACACAACACCCGACTGAAAATGAGACTGAAAAACCGGTGTTACCTACTCTTCTCCCCGACTTCTGTTTACACACCGTGTTTAATTTGTTTGTTTTCTGTCGCGCTCTCTCTAAGCTTGTTTTCGGGATCCCACCCGGGCGGTTAGAAACAGCAGCCGCAAAACCTTTGGGCTGGCGGCGGCTTTGCCTCCTCCCTGTGATCGCTCGGAGAGTCGGGGGGCTGCAGCACTGGAAATGACAACTAATTACAGGTGGAAAATACAATTAATACAATAGTGGAAAATGCAATTAATTAATTAAAGTTACAAGTGTGGAGAATGCTATTTGCATAAATGGCCGATCGTGTGCCGGGGCACAGGTCCCGCCGGCGTTTTACCCCGCGGGGGGCGGGAGGAGTGGGGTGCAGTGGGGCGGGCGCGTTGTGCCACGGGGAGAGGGATTAGGGTTCGGAAACCCCGACGATTTTTCTATTTCTAGGTCATAGCTTCGTTTTTTGTCACGGTTCATCCCAAACGCGCTCTGTTCTTCCGTACCTTCTGCGCTGCAAACGACGTGCGGCGAGTTTTAGAGCTGCCCTGCCAGAGCTCGGGTGTATTTCAGCCGGCGAAGGAAAAGCGTTTGAACCCGCCAAAGTCCTCAGACTTTGGGGACGGGGGGAACCCCCGGGCAGGGCAAGGACTTGCCCCCGCAGCCGCTCACCTGTACGGCAGCTGCCTGCGGGGTGGGTGGGGGGCCTCCTGCCCGGCCCCCCTCTCCAAAGGCTAATGCAAACAGCAGCAAATTAGATTTAAGTTTACCCATTGGTTCTGCCATAATTTGTATTTGCTTTTTGCGTGCTAATTAACCTCGGGGAGGGGAAGGGGGAAAGAAAAAAAAAAAAATAAACGCGAGGATTTACCGAGGAGGCTTTTGAGGTTTTTATGGCTAAGCCCGTAACAATGTTTGGAATAATTAAGACCATTATTATTTGGATCTTCTTGTTCATTAGTGAAAGCTACTTTGTTAGCGGAGACGGCAGGGCGTGCCGGCTCCCTGCCTGCACCGCGTTTGCGGAGCTGCCTGAGCCCCTGCCCCCGAGGGCTGCTTTTAAGATAGAGGAGGAGAGGACGGGGAGGAGAGAGACACAAATCTGTTGGCAAAACAGGAGTTTGTCTAATGGGGAAAAGGCCTAGGGCTCGGGGAGGGCAGGAGACAAAAGCATCCGCCGCTCCCCCGGCGAGCTAACAAACAAGGCAGCTGCCGGCAGCCGGGGCCGGGGGCGGCGAGGAGCCCCCATGGGCGCGGGAGAGCCGCAGGATCGGGGCGGTGTCACGCCGGCCACCCTATGTGTCGCGACAGACCTGGATGCTGCAGGGGTCGAAGGCTTCTCGGAGAGGGGGAGACCCAGGGGGAGGCGGCGGAGGGACGCGCGGTCCCAGCCCACGTCTGCTCCCTCACGGCACGGCTGTGTTAGCTGGCACGGAGAGTGTAATTAAGCTGGGAGTTAATAACGGGGCAGAGCCCCCGGTGTCGTCGGTGCCCTCGGGGGTGGCGGCCAGACGCCGTTCATTAGCGGGGCTGGTGGCCAAGGGGACGGGGCTAATGGGATTACACGCATTTCTGCACGGTGGAGAGAGGGGCTGGTGCCGCAGGACCAATAATTTATCGGCAGATGCTCCTCCGGCAACCGGCAGTATTGAATATTCATAGAGAGCCGCCGGCACTTCAGCCCCCATCGGCCACCGGCCCGCTCTCCCCCCTCCTGCGGGTACCCCTGGCCGGGGGGCCCGGGAGGGATGGGAGCCCCCCCGGCCTGTTGCGCCGAGCCGGTCAGTCCCGGGGCGGCGGGAGGCAGCTGGGGGTGTGAGGGTTTTGCAGGCCGACCTGCCCTCCGGAGCTCCGCGGCCCCTACATTGCGTGCGCCCGTAGGTGCGATGAGTTGTGACCGTTCTCGTCCCTTTCCGAAACCCATTTTCTGCGGGCAGCCAGCGACTACAAGGAGGTGAGGGGCTGGAGGAGTTTGCGGACTGCTCTAAATACTTTTTTTTTTTTTTTTG